ACAAATGCTTATTAACCTCTTTCACTTTTAAAATACCAATAAAAATCAAACATTATGTGACATATCATAAGCCAACTGCCAGACACACAGAACAAAAATGCAAATTCTAGTCTCAAGTGGATAATGTTTCCAGCTGTATCAAAACCCTTTCCCGTGTCTTTCTTTCCTTGGATGTTTCGAAAAATCCCCTAGTTGGTTATGTGAGGGACCCAAAGCACTGATGGATATTGAGGGTTCAATCGAAGAATCGGTGGCTCCGGGGACAGCCCCAGGCCAAAAGCCAGGGCAGCATGGCCCTGGCTGCTGGGATGGTCTTTTCTAAGTTGGCTACTTTTCAAAAACATGTCCTAGTGATCTCCACGAAGGTTAGATTTCTCCCTTGATCTACATCCCTCTTCTCAGATTTGGAGAAGAAATGTATCTAAGGTTGTGTCACAGAGCTGAGCAAGAGATTCCTGGGATTTGCATCCAAAGCAGGAAGAAGCCTGAGGAGGTACTCTGGGAGCCCTACTGAGAGAGAGGCAGGGGAGAGAGAGAACACTCTGGGAGCTCTCCTTCTTAGCCCCGCTTTAAGTAGGGGCTGGTGCAATTCTTTTCTGGGACATGTCATCCTGATGTCACATTCCTGCAGCTAACCCTCAATCCCCACCTTCCACCCTCTGCCTGGGGTTGGTTCAATGAGCAAACAGGAGTCTGTGTCCTAGACAGCTCCAGGGCACCTCCACAGATGACATCTGCTTGCTTGCCACCAGGAGAAGGCAAAAAGGCCATTTGTGTCTGTTGTTGAACCAGCATGTGCTGGGCGGGCCCCTCCTGTGTGCCATGTCCTGGAGTAGGCACATCACACTGCATACGATCCCATTTTACAGAGGAAGAAACTGAGGCCTAGAGGTTTTATGTAACCTGCCCTGGATTGGTGAGTGGCATTTCTGTCCCTGAGCCCATGAATTTCCACAACAGTTTTCCTCACTTTGAAAACTGGCATGGGAAGAAAACCAATAGACTCTTTGTCTCTCATACTCATTTTTGGGTGGAGTGGAAAGTAATCTTGTAAAATAAATGCAGCTGGGGCATTCTCATCACATGTGAGCTGGTTTTGAAAATCATTGTCTCCTTTTGGGGAGTGAACGAGGCCAGAATTTATATGAAGGCTGAACACTTGGTTTTCCTTTGCCCTTTATACTGTCACTAGTTGTCCCTGAGGCATGCAGAGTGTCCTTCCTCACCCTAGTGAAGTGCTTGCATCCAGAGCAGGAGAGCACTGCAAGTCCTACTTAGAAGCAGAAGGAGGAAAACTTTGCCTAAAGCCAGAGGATTCTTTTTCCATCTGCCACCCACCGCCACCGCTGCCGCGGGCCCTGTCTGTTCCCAGTTCTCCCTGCGTCCCTGCATGCAGACCTGACCCACCTTCGTAGTTTGGCACGAGGCCGTGCCGAGCAGTGTTCGCCGGTGGCTCCGGGAAGTTTTTAGCTGGAGACGGGCTGCTAGGCACTAGGGGGTTGGCATAATGCCACTGGCATTCGCCGCTGGCTGGCAGTGTGCTCAGGAAAAAGCGTGCCACCTCACAAGGGGATCCTTGGGACTGCCCGAACTTGGCCGGCAGCATTGGCTTTTTGCTGCTGAAGACGTGCGAGTCCAGGGGGAAGCGTCCGTAGTGGTAGGAGAAGGGCAGGCTGTAGGGTGGCGCGTACAGAAGCTCGCTGCTCTCTGAATGGAGCTGCTGTTCTGGGGGAGCCGGGGCGTTTGCGGGGGGACTGGCTCTCCAGTTTCCGAGCTGGCCGCATTCCAGTTTGTCCATTTGGAACGAGCCGTATTGCTGCGGGGCAAAGAAGGTGGGTGAAGGGCTGGCCGAGGGCCGGCGGGAAGCTGCCTTCCGGCCCCACAAGATCCGCTCCCACGGTGCCAACCCCATCCTAGGGCTGGCCCTACCGCTGCCCCGACCACCACTGCGAGGTCCTTTGGGGACAGGTGCACGGCAAGCAGCACCCCGTCACCCACCTCCTGGGTGGAAAGGGATACCCACCCCAAGCTGACAGCACACCAGACGCACGTGGACACTTGCCATTTCCAAGAGGTCACAAACTACTTTAAATAAAAAAAAGAAAGAAAGGTTTTCATTTTTAAAAAGGATGGAAACACTTCCGTGGGTCTAACAGGCCGACGTGCCTTCCTAGGTTAGTCTTCTCTTTCCTAGACTTGGCCCCCGCTCGCGGCGCCCCCAGGCTGTGTCACCAGCATGTGGGCAGGACACTCCGGGGACCCTGCTCACTCTGCAGGGAGACCCTGCAGCGCCGTCAGAGCTCATCGCTCCTTAGCGTGTCCGGGCGCCCGAGCCCGGGACCGAGTCGGCCCGCCAGCGCCAGCACGCGGCCTTACCTGTGGGGGGTAAGGGTTTGTTCTCAGCTTTGTCTTCATCTTCGTATTTTTGGGTTTAGCTAATTTCCTAGTTTCTTGTGAGGTAGACAAGGCGGTCCTCCAGGAGTCCTGGGACTTGGAAGTGGACACCTGGTCCAGGGACAACCGAAGTTCCTTGTATTCGATCTCCCTGGAAAGCCAGAGTGGGACGAGTCACGGCCGGCGAGGGCGGAGGCAGAGCGGCTCCCCTGGCACCATCCCCTGGGCACCTTCATCCTCAGTGCCCCAACGTGTCACTTCTCTGAGGCCGGATGTGGCTGGGATGTGAGAGGCCAGCTCACCCTTGGTATAGAAGCCACCTGTGGCCCCAGGAAATGCTGAGCCAGGTTAGTGTCACTTGGCAGGGCAGAGGGAGGCCCGAGCAGCTCTCTCCAATCCCATAACGCCCCAAACACATTTCCTGGGGACAGCAGGGGCCACGAGGAAGGCCATCAAGGCAAAAAGGAAAGGGCAGAAATACCCTTATCAAGTCCCCCCTCATCCAACGTGCCTGTGGCCCAGCTGCTCTCTGTTGGCACCTGGGGGACAAGGCTGCGAGCCTTCACTGGTCCGGGGCCCGGCCTCCAGCTTTGTCCACTTGCACGTCCGGGGCCCGTCTCCACCCTAAAGAGCCAACGCAGCATGGTCCTGCTCACAGAAGGAGAGGGCCCCCAAAGTGCCAGCCCACACCGGTCTGCTCAGGAAGAATAAATAAGGGGCTAAAAGGTTTTCTCTCTTAGAGTTTTGCCAAAAATCACTTGGCTGCTAAAACACCTAAGAACCTGGCTGTCATTCTGTGAAAGAACCTAGAGCCCAGATCCTCACTGCATTTAGAAGGTGAATGAGGAGACCCTTTTCAGGGTGGGGCTGGGGGAACTTCCAGGGCCTCTTGCACCCGGGGCCAGAGCCGGGTGCAAGGAGATTTAATATGTAGTAGCCACGGTGGGCAGAGAGTAATATACGGCTCCAGGTAGACTTATGTCCTGTTGCTTCTAAGGGCCTAAAAGGTAATTGCAACTGAACTTGACCTTCTGGGGCTCTCAAGGGGCCGGATATTCACCATGACTTGCCACAGCCTCTGCAGGAAGACAGGGGAAGAATGGGGGGAAGTTTCCTCTGTCTCAAACAGCAGGAGCATCCAGGATGACCCAAATGTCAGCGGTGGACACGGATAGCATGACTTTGTTCCTGATCGAGGATGTGCTCGCTCTTTGTACCGTATTAAAGATGGGGGTGCTGCCCTGGCCCCTCGCCTGTGCTCTGTGATGGGCCCTAAGCTGCGCCCTGGGCAGGGCTCCCCCCTCCTCGTTCCCCCCACTGCCTGCTGCTCGGCCCCCACCACTGAGCATGGAAATCGTTTGGACCTTCCCAAAGGTTTGGACCAGACTGTTCAAATAAAAACAAAACAGGAGACAAATGAACAGTTTGAGAAAGAGAGAGAGAAAGAGACGGTGCTTATCGGAGCGATCCGACGCGGGACAGGGAAGGAGGAGAGAGCAAGGAGAGAAACAAATACGTGTGACTTACGTGAGTACATAATTGACACTCACGATGCAGTGGGGCCGGGACGAGCGGCTGTTGTGCACCACGGTGGCGTAGCTCTGCACCCACACCCAGCCGCCCCGCCGGGACAGCAGCCGGTAGTACTTGGTGGTGACCTGGCCCTTCACCAGCACTGCAAGCACAAGACGACATCAGTCCTCTGGGGACGCTGCCCCCACGGTGACCTGCAACCCTGGTCTGAGCCTTCCTGGGGCCAAGGACAGACACCCCTGAGCACCTGACAAAGGGGGTGGGCTCTCTCCACAGGAGAAGGCCTGTGGAGCACGCATCCTCCCGTGCGTGCTCATGCGTGCACACACGCACACACGCACACACACAAGCACACAAGGATTTTTGCCTACCTACAGCTTCAAGAAATCCCCTTCCATTAAGAATTCGAAGTTAGCAGTTGTGCTCTCCCTGGGGGAAACGGCCCCCAAACAGTGTTTGGACCCGGCAGAGTGATAAAATTGGATACGCCTTTTAGTTTCCAAAGTGCCACAATTATGTTTTAATCCCCAAACCCTTCATGGGCAGAGGCGGGGAGTGATGTTATTTAAACAAAGCAGTAGGCTGAGTCCACTCAGCTGTGTCAGGCTGTTGCTGGTATCTGCCGTGCACGAGTGCATTCACAGTAAAACGGCTGCTTACTCTCCTGCCATTTACATTTTCTTCTCAGGAACCCCATTAATTTCCTACATCGTTGTTCGTGTAGGAAGGGCCGCTGCTTGGCTACACAGTCCCTGAAAATCGGGCCTGTGGGCCCATCTTCTATGCATGGGCGCAAACCCCAGGCTGCCGGGAGCTCACACAAAGCTCGGTGTGCCCACAAACCACCGTTCCACCTCACCGCCTTCCAGGAGGCAGGTGGAGGGAGGCTGGTGGGGGAGGAAAGTGCCAGAAACTGCGGGTGGGCGGTGGAGAGGAGAAAGGTAAGTTAACCTTCTCCAGGGAAGGGGGAGGCCAGCACAAGTCTAGAAAGACACCCCTGGATGCCCAGGTCCCCAGCTCCAGGGTGCTCCTGCTTCCCAAGGCAGGGCTGGCCCCTGCCCCCTAACTAGCAGCTGCCTGAGCAGAAATTTGGGGAGATGGCCCAAGGGGCCGAGTCTGTGGCTGTATCAGCTGGCACTGAAGGAAACCCCAGAGGCTCATAGGCAACAAAATTCAGCCTTCCTGTTGCACCTCCAGGCAAAGCCCACCCAACGCCCAGTCTCTGCCCACACACTCCCCGAGCTCTCCACTGCCTTGTGTGGCTTCTTTTCACTTCACAGGTGACTCTCTGTCATCCACATCAAAATATTTTGGCAGGAAAAAAACTGCTGCAAATATGATAGTCAAAGAGTTATTTACCTTAATATGTAAAGAGTTCATACAGATCAATAGAAACACGAAGACTCTAAAAGTAATGTGGACAAAGGGCATGAACAAGTAATTCACCAAAGAATAAATATAAATGGGCAAAAGGATGAGCAAAAGTTTATCTCACTGATTTAACTCAAAGGTAGATACCATCCATCACATGAACATACATTAAAAAAGAAGCAAATATTACGAGTCCATTGATACGAAATGTGCAGAACGGGCAAATCCACAGCGAGAGAACGCAGACTGGTGGTTGCAGGGTCTGAGGAGGAGGGGGCTGGGAATGATGGCCTCCTTTTGGGGGATGATGAAAATGTTCTGGAATTATTAAAGGTGACAGTTGCACAATATTGTGAATATACTGAAAATGGTTAAAAAGATGAATTTTACATTATGTGAATTTTATCTTACAAAAATGAAATGACTACAGGTGACGGCGGCTGATCTGTGGGGAGAGGCATTTCACGTGTGACGGAAGGTGAATCGGTAGGACCCTCCTGAGAGCTCGTGCCCGCTGACACACCCATTGCAGTCCTGGGCCCTGGTCCTCTGGAAGTTACCAGCGATGCAAACAGAGGTACAAACAGGTTCATCACAGTCTTACTTAAAATTCAGGAAAAAGGAGAGGGGGAGAGATTTAACCGTTCAACAAGAGGGAAAAGAGCAAATAAATTATGGTGTACTAGGCAGCCATTAAAATGATGATTAATAAGAATTTGTAATACCATGGGAAATGTGTATGATACAGTGTTAAATGAAGAAAAGACAAGATTCAGCAATGCATAGAGCATAACCCTAATTATGAAAAAGTGGGCACGTGCACGCTTACATGTACACGTACCGCAACCGACTGTGGTCCTGGACGAGCTTCCAACCCCCGTTTATCCTCATCCATAGAAGGAGGATAATCGCAGTCCTTATGTCATGCGGTTGGTGGGGAGATGAGCTGATCCGTGTGAAGATTTAGAGCGGTGGCAGACACAGATGAAGGGCTCTGTGTGACACCTATTAACTCTCATTAACTGAAAATGACAGGTGATTTTCATTTTCTTTTCAGCTTTTCTTGATTTTCTAAACAAGGAGGAGGTTTGAGTTTTATAACCAGAATGTAAAATCTTTTTTTTTGACGTGGGAAAGCAGTTTGCGTGGGGTGGGGAAGTGGAAGTACACTAATAGGCCCCACGCGGCGCAGTGGGATGGGGTGGACAGGCCTCTCTGGGACGGTGCAGAGACCGGCCCTTTTCTGCCCAGGCTCAACATCTGCATCTCAACAGACTCATCTGGTTGGTACCAGATCCCTGTGGAAGAGTACAGACAAAGGCAGTGGGAAAGAGAGGAGTCTTGCAATGCTCTCTGGGAGTCTGCCGGGTTGCACTCGCACGGCCTCGTCCTGCCCTCTGCCACCGTGGGAGGTGGACATCACTAGGAAACCAGGGCCCCGGCCCAGGTGTTCTCAGAGTGGCCACTGTGGGAGGACAGAGCAGCAGCCTCCAGAAGGGTCTCTCTAGCTCCTTTTGGGGTGGTGGTGGGGGTGGGCTCACCTTTTAAGAAAGACAGCCAATTTGTTTATGGCCCCAAGATAACCAAGAGAAGCAAATGCTCAACCTGAGGTCCCCCCCTTGGATTTCCCAAGATGTCACACTTTCTTCAACAGAAATGCTCCTTAATCTCTTCAACTTTGAAACCTACTCCTAGCAGTGTTTGGACAGCCCTGAGGAGTATGACCATACACTTTTATTTTTCTCATCTTGTACTTTATACCTTCCCCTTTATTTCTTACAACATTCCTCATCTTGAAGCCAATTTGTCCCAAATATTTCATATTAAGAATCAAACTGCAGAAATTGCAGAGATTTTATTCTCTCTGGCCCTACCCAGCTCTGCCATCGTGAGGTTTAGATAGACCAAACAAACATATATGTATAACTTTTTTCTTTTTGCTGCTCTGTGACCCATGACAAGAGTCAACGTATCAATCCAAGTTGAAATCCTAGACACTCAGTCATAGCATTCTTTGCTTTGCTCCAGTTCTCCGTTAAGTCTGGAATCCTTAACTACCTGCCTAAAATTATCCCAGGCTAGAGAGCTATGAACTAAGGCCTTCCCTGTGGTGGTGATGGATGGGGACAGGGAAGAGATGTCCCCTAAGCCATGAACTTCTGAGGCTTGTGCACCTCTAGCCATAGCACTTCCCGAATAATGGTCTAAGACGGTTCTGGTTCCAAGGTGATCCACACATAGAGGAAAGCCAGTAGTCCTGATTTTCAAAGGCCACTTTGGGATGGAAATTCTAGTTCCATAAATATACTCTCCAGAAAACTAAGTGGCCTTCCTGGGTCCTGCGGAGTTTCTCCCCTAGGCACGGTCATACCTGGGAGCCACCCTCTGGGAGGAAAGTGAACTTTGCCCTCAAGCATAACTCCTATTTCTGTTTTGGATTTTGATTTTAAGGCTGAAAAGGACACAGAAAATGCCTGTCATGTGTTGAATAGTATCCCCAAAAAAGTTATGTTTCACATCCTAACCCTTGGAACCTCTTATTTGAAAAAGGAGTCTTTGCAGACGTAATCAAGTTAAGGATCTCAAGATGAAATCATCCTTTACCCAGATGGGCCCTAAACCCAATGACAAGTGTCCTTATAAAAGACGGAAGAGAAGACACAAACACAAAGGAGAAGGCCAAGGGAAGACGGCAGATTGGAGTGATGCAGCCCCAAGCCAAGGGGTGCCTGGGGTCGCAAGAGCTGGAGGAGGCAGAGAAGGCTCCTTCTTGAGCCTCTGGGAGAGAGTGCGGCCCTGATGACGTCTTGACCTCAGACATCTGGCCTCCAGAATTGTGAAAAGGTAGATTTTTGTTGTTTTAAGCCACCCAGCTTGTGTTAATTTGTTAGGGCAGCCCTGGGAAACTCATCCACCACCCAGATGGAAAAAAGTGGTAAATGCAGTCAGGGTTCTTGTCCCTTGGACAGGCTTCCCCACACCTTCCTCAGCAGGACAAAACCAGTTCCATCTCCACACTCCACTCGGAGGGCAGCATCCCAAATGGAGGTGGGTGTGAATGAAACGTCAGCATCGTTTCCAGTCCAGAGCAGAAATCCTCTGTCATGTCAATCAGACCCCGCAGAACAGCCTGGAAACGCCTTTCAAGTTTACTTTCTATTTCAAGGCTTTGTCCCCTGTTCCATAGCTGTGCTATAGCGTGGTCACAGACTGGTATCCCATGTACCACATGTGCCCACAGATGTGCCTGTTGGTGGCACAGTGTCATTGTTAGTCAGGATGCCTATGGGTGGGTCATGTGTTCTCCAGTGAGCCACGGGCCCCACCATGCCCTCTTGCCCTACACATGCCCATTCCTGCATTCACGTTACATGCCTGGCCCGTCAGCATTTGAATGTGTGGCTATTGTCTGTCATTTAGACTGTGTTCTCCTTGGGTTTATGCGAGTTACTCTAATGTCCTATAATTTTGTTATAGTGGTTTATTGCTTGAAATTTGTAAACCACATATTCTGGCCTCATAGCCTTTCCATCACATTGAAATATTTTAATAGTTGGACGTGGCCTGTGTTCTCTTTGTGGTCTGGGCTTGGCCCACCTTGATCAGGAGCCTACCTAGAGAGCTAGGTGCCATTCTCAGCTACCGTGGAAGAACAGCCGTGGACGTTCTCCCAACCATGGACAGCCCAGCGTCCCTCGACATAATCATCGGGTCTACTGACACCGACCCCTCCCCGCCTGCGCACCAGGCAGCCTCTGCCTGCCCCGAGAG